ACAGCTCCTTCCGCCAGCCTAATAGCGTCCCTTTTTTCACCTTAGATCTTAAGCTTCTTCACCTTCTCCTCAATGGGCGTTTGGACGCACTTGCGCTTGGAAGACATAGTTCTTGCGATGATAATGAAGGCCTGAACCCAAACAACCAGAGCGACCAGTAGATTTTAACCGCATTTAACCGGTTCAGTTGAACCGTCGTATACTGTAACTCAACTTCGTCGAGTAAACGTGTAACCCGGTCGAGTAAACGTGTAACCTGGTATAGGATAGGTCGACCCAGTCGAGTAAACGTGTAACGCGGTCGAGTAAACGTGTAACCTGGTACAGGATAAGTCGACCCAGTCGAGTAAACGTGTTACCCGGTCGAGTAAACGTGTAACCTGGTACAGGATAAGTCGACTCGGTCGGGAAAACTTGCATTATTAAGCACTATAACTGTGTAAATGAACCGCTTTAGCTTGGTCTCCAAACCTCGATAACATCGGGTCGTAGTAAAACACCTCCGATGTTGACAACCTTGCCATAATGGAGCACCAGTGCATGCCATTACAAAGGAAAGGAATTAGTACAAACTCGGAGGAAATACCCTCAAACAGATTGATCAGATCTGGTTTCTCGAAAGCAATAACTCCATCCGTGACAACTCCCAATCGCGTGGGTTTAACGCAGACAACGTTTCTGCGAGGCTCAAACAACTTGTCCATTAGCGTTTCCATTGTAGCATCTCCAAAATCACCTCTACCAGCAATGTCCAGCAGCTCAACCTTAAAAATTATTTTAAAAAAAGTTAGCAAGAAAGTAGATATACGGAATGGAAAACGAAATACCTTGGCTAAACCATCCGGCCGCTGCTTTCTACTTCTGGATCTACAAGAGTTCGAGTTCGTCCGTACGTTTCCAGTCTGGGTACTCACACAGATAGCTACAATTGCGGTCTATTTGTTTTAGTGGCATTTGAGATGTTTTGTGGTGCAAGCTCTCCTGGCGTACGCAGCAAGAGTCTACTTCAGTATTTACGCTACAGATACATGAACATGTGCGTGTAGACGTTCCGGTTTGAGCACATTCGTCACAGTTAAAAAATAAATAAAATTACGTTGTACTGTGTGTAGATCTCAGGCGTAATACAGCATCAGTAAGTAGTCGAAATGCTTATGACTAGGACAATGATCTTCGACAGTACGCCTTCAATCACCTTTTATTAGCGCTCGCTCTTGATTGTCATCTCCTTTTCCTGCTGCTGCTGCTGCTACCGGTAACTACGTCTCCAGCTATCACCTTCTCCTGCAGGTCATGCTTGATCAGCTTCTTCTCGCCTTCCTCCTTCTCCTGGTGATGCTGTTGATGGCGATCGATAGGGCCTTCACCCCACCTCCTGTTACTCCAAGTCGAACCCCACTAGTGCCACTGGCACTGCCACCGGCTCCTATCACCTTCCTTTTAAAAAAATATAGTCGGATTTGAATTGAGAGTGAGCACCTCTCACGTTTATGTGTGTCTTCCAGTGGCGCCTCTTTTTGTCTATCGATGAACAATTCGGTGTCTACGCGTGTCCTTTACTCGTGCAATCCGGCGGTGAACTCGAAACTGCGAGTGGGTGGGTTGGGCGGGCATAAAAAGTTCTCAATGAGAACTATGTA